TTTTTTTATACAAATAGAAGCAAATAGGTCACGAGTAAATAGCACTTTTAAAATTTGACCCGAGACCGGAGATATACGATACAAAGTTCTCAATGTTAAGTTTATGAGCGAAGTTGGTGACAAAACGTGCACTCTTCAAACTTCAATCGATCTTTTCGATTACATTAAAATACGAGATCGTACATTGATTACTCTTAGGTTTTTCTGTTTTTGATTAATAATAGTTTTAGATAATTTGTGTATTACAAATTATCTAAAAGTTTGCTGATTTATATTTCGAAATACTGTATATCTAAACATTCATAGAAACTGTTTTATGTGGTTTACTTAGTATGTTGCCAGATCTTCCCGTTACAGAAACAAAACCTTTTTTTAACCAGTAATTGAACTTAACTTTAAAAGGTTTTGTTTGTGATTGTTTATTTCTCACTCCAATATTTCTGAGAAAAAGACTGTTTATTCCTAGAAACTTTTTAATTTGAAAAGTTTTTTTAATTAAAAAAAAAATAGATTTAAAAAGTTTATAAGCTTTATAATTTAGAAAGATTTTAAGAATGAGACCGTAACACTGCTATTTATCATTGATATATCAATGATATGCTTTCTATTTAAATCTTTTTTGCACTGCGAATACTAAGAAGGCTTATTGCGCTTCCATGTCCATTAATGCTCTGGCCAAATCTACTATATAAACATGAAAAATCTGTGCCCGTTATAAATTTGGCACTGCACTTCAATGGGACCGGCCAGTAATGAGGGTCAGAACTTGTTATTTCCAGATCAAACCATTCATGAAAATTTCTGTATTAATCCAATCCAAGTTTCTACAGCAACGAGCTGATGTTTTCAACTTCTCCGGCCGCAAACATAGTGCTATATATGGACATTTTAAGATACTCATTTACTTGCTTAGATTTGTAATTTCTCAGAAATAATTATATATTTAAATTCATTCTGATTAATTAGGCTACTACGTTACATTAACTTATATTAACTATACTTCTAGTGCGTTATCGTTCTTGAGATTATTGTAACTAATAAATATCTTATCTTCTCAGCCCTTAACGAAGGTCGTTCAATAAGTATTTGGAGACAAAGCAGTCCTAAATACTTAATGCTTAATCGAGTTCATACACGTGACGTTCAACTTAACTTAAATGAGAGTAAATAGGATTCGTGTTAGTATGTGTCAACGCTCTCATTTGATACATGGGTGCGATGATTGAAAATGTAAACCACTTTTGCTTAATATCAATATTATGATAAGGAATTCATTGATTAAATTTTTATAAAATTCTGAATCTAAAACAAAAAAAAAAATTCAAGAAATTATTTGTGACGATGAGATCTTTGTTAGTATTATTATTATTATTATTAATTTTCTTTTTTATAGGATTTAAAAATTTGCATAAAATTATTCGAATTCGAAGTATATTTTTTAAAAATCTAACTTGAAATGCTAAGCATAACTAAGTATCGTTTAATATTTCCTTTATGGTTATTGTAAGTAAAGCGATTTATTATTGACATACAAGAATTCGAACATAATTATGAATTTGAATTAAAAATAATTTTATACTTTTAGTTATTTTAGTTCTAGTATTTTTAAAACATGAAATGTTTCAACATTTCAAAACTTAAATTATTGATTTACTTTCTGATTTTCAAATGGTTTAAATAAAATAAAATTCATATTTGATTACTTTAATATCAAATCAATAGTAATTTTTGCAGATTTCTCTATCGCAATTGAATGTAATTTATTTCTTGATTGATGCGGATTTTGACCTTTTCTTTAAACTAAATTTCATCTCGGATCTCTTCATCTTGTCAATCAACGGAGTAACTTACTTTCGCTCTTTTACTTCCCCCCATTAGTTCATCGTGATATTACTTATAACTAATGATCTTATAAAACTTAACCTATTTTTTTAGTATAAAAATATTAAAGCTGATATTAAGTGTATGACTTAATTCTTTCACTAAAAATACAAGGTAGGCCTATAAAATATTTTAAATTTTTATGACAGCAAATCATATTTTATCATTCATGATTACTGTATATAATTAACATACTTTTTGAAACACAGTAGATTTTTTGTGAATATTTATTGTAAAACTAATCTTCCAATATTGAAATAAACGAAAATTTCTGTTATAATTTGTTTCATTCCAGATCTGTTAGCATTTTAATTGTTTATAGATTATAAGCATATTATTATACGGAACTCTGATAATTAATGAAAAATTTGTATGTAAGTAGATGCAATGGCATATCCAAGATTTTCAGAATAAAGGTTCTGCACAAGGCAGATTCAGTGACCAAGGCAAGTGCCCTATCGTTTTTCAGAGAATGTAAATCAGTTACCTTAGAATTATTTTTGTTACCTAATCTTACTAAATTGAAGTCATGCAGTATGAGTTATATTTATTTTAAAGTAATAGAACTGATTACTTTGTTATCAATGGGTTGCTGCAGCACCCTAATCATTCCCCTAGATACGCCCTGAGTACGTTATTTCTCGTAAGTTAGTAATGAACCCCTGAAAGGGGGCTGAAGAGGAAACGCGCTTTCCTAGAAACCTGTTTGAATTGTTAGAGGGCTTTCTTCTATTCAAAACGTGTGTAAATAAATTAAAGTTTGTTATAAAAATATTTATACCATTAGATCAAACATTAGTTCGTTATTTGCAATTTAAGCATATTTATTATTTGTTATTTAGTAATATGTCTCCGTCACCGTCGAAAACACGAACGAGGACGATGTCGAGTGGAGATTTCATTCGTCCGAATTCTCCTAGTAGATGTACTTGGGAGGCTGGTAAAAGAGATTCTCCTCACATTAATGTTAACTCGTAAGTCACGAATTTAATATTTTTTAAAAATTTTATCATTTTGAAATTGCAATACAGTATCTATTTTATTTCAATCACGTAATTGACATGTTTGTTCATGACCACGTGTTTTTAAATGGAATTTTCCATATGCAGCAACTTTATTAGTTTAATAATTCTCTATAAAAATGATATTAATTATTTTATCTATTTTAAATTATTAATTAAATTAAACAGTTTATAGTAGTATTAAAAATTATTATAAATAAAAAAATTTTTTAAATGTATATTTAGATTACATACATAATTTATTGATTGTAGAGGTATTAAGAGACCGAAAATATTGCCAAATATTTTGTATCAGATTGGTGAAACGCCTTTGGTACGACTTAATAAAATTCCCCAAGAACATGGAATACGCTGCGAAATGTGTAAGTAATAAATTATAAATTTAAGATTAATATTAATGATGAAAGGAATTAATATTTGTTGTATATTCTGAAATTACTGTATGTTTACTGATAAGAAAACATTTTAGATATTTATATCATTCAACTTTAACAGACCTGATATTAATTAAACTGGATGATAGTACTTATGAATTTGTGATAAGATGTTTTATGAAATGACAACCTTTTATCTAATCTCTGAATACTAATATATATTACTGTATAGCCATTATTCTTTAACTAAAATGAATTTAAATATTTTCAGTATTTCTATTGAGGTCATTATAAATATTATAACAACAATGTGCTACTCAATGTTGTACAAAATTAAAAGATCTTAGCTTGTACTGGATCCCGAGTAATGATCATGATCATGTTTATCAAAACTCATCATGATTATGATCATGAAGAGTGTTGATAATCATACATTTTATGCTTGATACTCCTAAAAATGAGGCTCTAGGCAAAAGTTTAGATTGTCTATACTAAAACTGACACTGGGAATTGGTCTATTTTATTGTTATATCGGTAATATATAAAGTCTAATAGATGTTTATTAACAAAACTGCAACTATTAGTAAATCTTATTCCAATTAAGTGCAACCCTGGACTTTGACAGCATAAATTTTATTTTCCTGTTTTCTGCCTTGCGCTATTTTATGCAACCCTAATTAAACTGATATTCACCACAAAGAACTTTTAAACTAGACTTAACTCAACCAGTATAAAGTTAATAAATTATGTATCACTAGTTTACATATCATTAGCATATATTATTGTAGTACCTAATATACTGATGGTTATGGAGTATGTTGGTACTCAACAATCTTAAAGCTTGCCTGCAACTCTATGAGAAAAAGTTTCATGCAGTTTGCCAGAAGCCTGTAAAGTTCACTTGTGGCTTACATCCAGAAAAGGTTGTTCATTACTGCATTAGATTTTAAAAAGACATAAAGTTATGGATCTTAGATTACTGTACATTTTGTTACATGTCTAAATTTATTAAACTTGGATTGTGATTTCTTAAGGTTTTACCATTCTCAGTTTAAAAGTTTTATATAAAAATGTATAGAATTCTCAAAATCGTAATGATATAGTTTATTACTAACTTGTATGTAAAAATTTAATTATCATAAAAAAATATAATTAGACAGAATTACATTTTTTTCTTTTCTAAAATATGTTATATCAAAAACTAACAATTTGAAATGTGTAAATTAAGCTTTCAATGCAGTTGAGATGGACAAAATTCACATTTTGCAACCTACATAGAATAAATTAAGGATATTTCATTAGATATTGGCAAGCTTCATTTTGTAAAGTTATGTGATTATTCTATCTAATACATGATTAAATGGCTAATGATAATTAAAATATACTGTAATAATTCTCTAATGATTAAATTAAATGTATTAATTTTTGTTCAATTCTAACTTTAGAAAACTTTTATTTTTATATTGCCCAATTAATTTATTATTTTAGGAAGTTGCAATATTAGGAAATTGAGAAACTGCAGTAAAAATGAATTATTAGAATATTTTAACATGAACAATAAAGATATTAATTTAAAGTTAAATGTGATAAAATTTATAATATATTACATTTTTGCATTGTTTCTTTTTATTTTGTTTTATTTTTTAAGATTTTTACTCTGTGGGCTAGGAGAACATGTTTTGTTTGTTATGGTCTGGCCAAGCTTACTATGGGGTATCTAGGTAGTGAGGGACAAGGCCTGACATATCAGGGTCCGATCACATGTGAAAATTTAATTATGATCCAGGCTTGAATATAATGTTTCCTATAATTATAAACTCAAACATTTGCTACCTAAGGTAGCAAATGTTTTATCTGACCAACTGTACTATACCATTAAGTTTTAATGGTTTTTAAGTTCAGTTTTTAGGTTAGATTTCAGTTTTCAGTCGACCTGAAGAAGAGCGAACAGATCGCTCAAAAACATTTGTCAAGCGATATACTATACATACGCGTAGAGCACTGGTCACAGGTTCCAGATAGTGTAATATTAATTTCACCCCAGTGCTGAAAGTAGAGCAGTTCCTATATTTTAATGGTTTTTATGAACTAGCTATAATATAGTCATTAATAAATAAGAGAAATTACAATATAAATCAGTTTAAGTAATTAAAGAGAATATTATTTTTATTTCAAGTTTTAAAAAGAAAATTTTAAATTTTAGTGGTTAAATGTGAATTTTTTAATGCTGGAGGAAGTGTTAAAGATAGGATTGGTTTACGAATGGTGGAAGAAGCAGAAAGGGAGAATAAGCTGAAACCTGGTTCTGTGCTTATTGAACCAACTTCAGGAAATACAGGTATAAAATATTAAAAATGACAATATAAAATATTTTTATTTACAAAAATAATTTGTTTTTTTAATTATTAAAACTAGGCATTGGATTAGCATTGGCAGCAGCTGTAAAAGGATATCGATGCATCATTGTTATGCCTGAAAAAATGAGTAATGAAAAAGTAGATGTTCTAAGAGCTCTGGGTGCAGAAATAGTACGAACTCCTACAAGTGCCACTTATGATTCACCAGAGTCCCATATTAGTGTAGCTCAGAGATTATGTGCTGAAATTCCTAATTCTATTATTTTAGATCAGGTAAAGTATTTATTTAATTATACATACTTGTACTGTACATGTCAATCACAAACTTACTATTGTCATTTTTCAAGACAAATAGACTAAGAAAGAATGAAGTAGAGAAATAATTACACGATTACAATGCAAAACTATTATTCTGGTAATGATTAATATCAAGAAAGTTTTTAAAATTCATTAATTTTGTAAGAATTTATAAATAGATAGGAAATTTTGTAATACTGTATAAAGCCATGTTGCTTACAATGATTTGTTATATATTCAAGAATTATTTCTTTTATCATATAATATATACAATAAAATACATAATGCATATGGCAAATCATTACTAACAGTGTGATTTTACACTATAAAAATTTCCTTTTAATAAAAGACTTTAAATATTTGATTTGATGTTATATGCTAATCATTATTAAAATCTCTACAAAAACTGTTGTATTTATTTACTTAATAGTTTTGGGTGCTGTTACAGACATTTTTTGAAAATATATTCTGAAGATGGACTTAACTGCCAAAAAGATTAGGTGTCTAAACCTTTTAATTCCTAAAAGCAGATTTTGTAGAAATTTTTTGAAATTGTTTTTCATATAAAGAATAAATTTCTTTTTTAATTACTACCTACAGCAGTCTGATTAATTACTATTATTGTATATAGTCTATTATTATAAGATTGTAAAGGTGAGAAAATTAACAGAAATATTAATTTATTATCATTATATTGGAAATTATTATTATTAATTGACAGTATCGAAATCCTGGAAATCCTCTTGCCCATTATGATAACACTGCAGAAGAAATAATAGAACAGTGTGATGGCAAAGTTGATATGGTAGTTATGGGAGCTGGAACTGGAGGAACAATTACGGGTGTTGGTCGCAAATTAAAAGAAAAATGTCCAAATTGTAAGGTAAAAATCCTGTTATGAAATAAGCTTTATTTAAATGCAATTTTTAATGCAATAAAATATAATTTCACTTTTAACTTTTTAAGAATATGTTTGCAATACTGTATGTAAAATTATTTTGAATAAAAATGACAGAAATATAATTAAATCATCATCAAAAGTTAATATTCTAATAATTTTGAATATTCTTTATTAAATATATTTTAAGATGATAAAATTAAAATAAACATTTTGATAAATATCTTTTAATTTTATTTTAATAGGTTATAGGTGTTGATCCTCATGGTTCTATTTTAGCTCAACCAGAATCATTAAACACAGCTGAAATTACTATGTATGAAGTAGAAGGAATTGGTTATGATTTTGTTCCAACTGTGCTAGATAGATCGGTATGAAATTGAATATTTTATGTATATAAATAACTATATATATATGTTTATATGCATATATATGCATTTATTTATAATAAATAAATATGTCTATATATTTATTTTCTGTAACTGATTTTATCACATTAATATTCATTGAAAAATGTTTTCTTCCTGTAAAAATGTAAACTTATGAAATTTCATTAAAACAAACAATCAGTGGAAAAATAAATACAAAATATAATAAAGATATCCATATCAAAATATATATAAGCAATATGAGGAAATTGATTAGATATTACATTACAGAAGTTAATGATATCATGCTAAGATTTTTTTTAATACAAAATATCAAATATGTTAGTTATTCTACCTTAGCATTTACAATAATTATATATAATTAATTTATATCCATTTAAATAACAATCATTGTAATAAAAATCAATATTATTGTGTGACTTAACAAAATCATTTATCATTCTCTCTTTATTAAATATGATTTTTTAAATTAGAAAAACATCGTTATTTTTAATTTATAATCAATTTATTGCTTTCTTTGTCATAAATTAACTTTACTAAGGAAAATAATACTATTTAAAGTATTATTTTTCTATTAACTTTTATGTTATTTTACATAAATAAAACTTATTTATATAAATATTAATAAAAATTTTTATTTAATGCTAAAATATTATTAATTTACATTTTAATAAAAACCAAATAATGATATATATATTTTGATAATAATTATTTATTTAAAGGTGGTTGATAAGTGGTATAAGACTGAAGATAAATCCTCTTTTTTGATGGCAAGGGCTTTGATAAGTAAAGAAGCACTTCTTTGTGGTAAGATTTGATTTGATTTTAAACAATTTAAATTTTTCATTCTATATTTTTCATTAACTTTGTATATATCAAATGAAAATCATAACTCAGTACCTATTAACAATTATAGTTAGGTTGAAATTAATATCAATATTTAAAATATTTTTATTTATTTATCTGTTTTTAATAGAATAAATAATTAAATATTTAATTACTTAAAAATATCAGTTTTTCAAGTATTATTAGGAAACTGTTTATTAAATTTCTTAGGAATTTGATGATGAATTTTCTTGATCAGAAATATAGGAAATCTTCGTTAATTCAAACTCAGATAGTTTGTAGTAGTACTTTTATCCTGGCTGGGAATATAGAGATTTACATTTTAAGGAATTCAGTTAGTTTGAAATAAGGATACTTCAAAATTCAAAGTGAAAATTCTGTCTGAACTCTGATAAGTGTGTTAACTTGTTTGTTTAGATCGAAGTGTCTCCATGCTATAAAAGAACAATAGAGCAAGAACAACTCTAATCTGGTCAATTATTATTATTATTATTATTATTATNATGAGATCTTTGTTAGTATTATTATTATTATTATTTATTAATGAAAATAGCATTCTGTATATGTAGCTGCATTCTGTTTCCTTACTAAATTACATCAATTACATGGCATTTTGCATATTGTAATCATATAGAAGTCATGATTATTTTGTCCTTATTAGTTGAATTTCCAACTAATAAGGATTTCCTGTGTGCTATTAATTAAACACAAAATTTTTGGATCTTTTTGAAGAAATTAAATTTTTTCAGTTACTCCTTAAATAAAGTTAAAACTGCTTGCCAATATTTACACCTTAGCAGTCATGAGCTGTATAGATTGATAAGCTTTTTAATATTTTTTGTACTACTACAGTATTTTCAACACTGACATAATTAATCAGTCAAGATCTTCCAAATTACTAATTTGAAAGATGATTGAGAATTGTCATCAATGACAACACTAAAAAATTTATTTTAAATAAGGACAAGCCAAGTCTGTGCTATTCTAAATTAGTAAATATCACACTATTGCTTTATTTCTGAGTCATCTTATTTTCTAATCAATCCATATAAAAATAAAGTTTTTCAGTTCTAAGATTTATATACATTTAATGTTGCATTACACATTTTATACAATATTGTAAGACAAGAAATACAATGGAGATTTATTTTAAAACTGGAATTTCTATCAGTAATTGCCTGTATTTTTATGTCAAGCATGTCATTTTTACGTTTAAATATGTCCATATGAATATTCTGGCTGAATAACATGTTGTGTTAGCAGTTTTGTTGTTAGTTATTCAAGATGGCAGATGATACAGTGTACAACAACTTGCTACTGGGTGTATCTCTTTTGAAGTAAAACAAATACTGCTAAAATCAACACCTTAATTATAATCAAACCAAAACATGAAATCTATTAAAAACCCAATTGGCAACAGACAGTGCATATTTTTATTATTAAAAATAAGGCAAAAGACTAAGAATCTGTCACTAAAGAAAAAGCTTGAAATAAAATCATCAGTAATTAAAAATTTAGTTAAAATATTACAAATGTGACATTGCATAGAACATGATGGCAAATTTCCTTAAATCTAAGTATAATTTTGTATTCTATCAATGTAGTCATTATGTAATTGAAATTACTTTCATTGTGCTGTAAATGATATTCATGCTAACATACAAATACATAACTGGAAAAAAGATAGTGTTAATTTTAAAAATGAACAGATTGGTGAAGTCATTTTCATTACTGCTGTTTTTTTTTTTTTTTTTTTTTTTTATCCAGTGCTGCTTGGATTTGTCATGTTGTTCCTCAAGAGCAAGCACACATTTTTGTATTCATAATGATTTTTCTTGATAAATTTGACTCAGATCAGGAAGTTATATGTATATTTTGTTATGAATAATACATATTTTAATGTTTAACTTACTTTACTTCAGTTAGAATACATTAAAAGTAATTTTGGCTATAGAAACAGAAAATTGATATCTAGTTAGATTGATTAGATTAATAAAAACAGAAACACAATATCTGAAATTATTGCCAAACTTAATTATAATTTCTGTTCATGTTCTGAATCTGTTTGATCTGGAGTTTTAAAATGGCATTGTTTGCAGATTGTTGTTATGTTATATCCACAGATCAGTACAGTACATTTTACACACCTGGATGCTGTTTTTCTATTCTTCCTTTTTTTTTATGGGCAATATGCACTCCACTACATGTGTATATATATTAAAAGCAAAATATTCCATCCCCACTGAAACTGAAACCAACACATTACAAAGAAGCAATGTGTAAGTAGGTCATACCAGGTTGCAGGTAGGGTTTACAAGTTCATTCCTTGAAAGGACCACCTGTTAACTTCCTCTGTGGACTTGCCTTGAATTTGTGAAAAGGGTTAACAAAGGGGAAGGAAGGTCCTTGTGTAGGGATAAGAGAAGCAAAAAGACTTCACTTTTGACCCAGACTTGGAGTTGAAGGATATTATTCATTTGCTGCCATAGTAATTATTCTTTAATTGTTATCGAATGACTCCCCCACATCTGTTAGGAAGAATAAGATACTGTTTCACTTCTGTCTTTTGACATTGACTCCTTTGCTATCATGGCATGCGTGATGAGGCAACACCACTGTTTTATTTTTATTAGTTTTCTTCTATCCTCGCAGTAAGAAAATGGCCTTATTTACTATGGTGGGGCCTCTGTGTGATGAGGAGGTACTGATTCAATTATTAGACAGTTATTGCAGACGCGGGTAGCAGCCTTTCATCACTTTGCAGGGGATTAATTCCCCCTGTATAACATCAAAGAGATTCAGCAATTATTTTTTTAAGTTTGATTTAGATTTTAACATTATTTTTGGCTTCTTTTCTATGTTTTACGACACTTTTCGGACTTCTAAATCTAAATTTTTACATTTTACAGCGCTTTTAAAGTAATTTTTAACGAGAATTAGTAGGAAAACGCTTTATTTGTATATCAAGAGTATATTTATGCAGAAATTCTAAAAAAAATTCACATATTTAAAGCATTATTTGACTCGTTTTTATCGCCCGAAATCAAAAAATTGGAATGAGTAGATCACGTTTTAATTCCGTAACTGTCATGTATTATTCACGTTTTACGATTTACTGCAAATTCAGTCATTAATTTCTTTATCGATGTGTGCACAATGAAAGATTTTTATCAAAAAAAAAGTCACGAAAAGTCGAAAAAATCAAGCGCTTAACATATGCCAAGATCACAGTCCAATGTGTAATCTATGAGAAGTAAACTACCCTACGACAGTATAAGATTTACTGCTACTGGCTCGGGTCATCTTCTATTGTTTTAAAGATANTATATATATATATAAATAAAAGTAAATGCAATGAAGAATTCACAAATAATATCTAATAATAGTTTATCAACTCAGACATTGTCTTCTGGCATTTTGGTGGCCAGTTAATTTGCAAATTAGCAGATAATGTCACAGAGCAAGTCTCTTTGAATTTGTATCCACTTTTGTGAGATGTTGAATCTTCCTATTGCTGAAGGACACCATAGGCTGTTTACAACAATTTAGAAATTGGTTGTTATCTTGTTATTGCCTTACAACTAATTACTTTCAATGATAACTGAAAACTAATATATATTTATTATATATTCAATATAATAAATAATATATATTTATTATATANAGGAGAATAAGAATATAAGTAGAAACTATATTTTTATTTTCATTGATTTTCAGTCTAATCGGATTATTTTGGGAAAATCGCAAATCCAAGTTCTGTAACATTTGTCAGAATAATTCATCAGGAGCTATAGAGAAAAAAGGAAACAAAATACTTGAACTAAGCACAAAACATTTTTCAAGAAACTAATTCCGGTGAGATAAACTCCAAATAAAATAATTAATGTCGCTAATTTAATGCCATTATAAATGCATAGCTTACTTAATTAGCATGTTATATAATAAATAAGTAAATTAATATTCATTACTTAATCATAATAGAGCAAATGATCACGTAACTACGAATACTTTTGAATAAAAATTAAGTTTTTTATTTGCTAAATAAGTCATTTATTTTAATTTTTAAACGAAATCATCCTTTTTAGTATATTAATTTGTCGTTGGGTAATAAAAATGCAGAATTATTCGCACTTATATTTTGTTATGCAAAACACAACCAAGTTTAAATCCGCTTGTTAACGAATCGGTGATCATCAAAAAGGAGGGAGAAAATTCAAAGTTTGTAGTACAAAAATTTGATTCTTGATTAAAAATCAAGATTAATAAGATTCTGAGTGATAAGCTCGCCAGAGGCCGAATGGATACAACCAGTGAATATTTGGGTTCGCATCTCACTAACGGGCTGGCCGCGTGTTTTACGGGTTTCCTTCACGTGCCTACTCCTATATAGGAGCCGATTTTTCAGGAAAATCCTCCTGCGAACCGCTCTTCCTGGAAGATCGCGCATGTATTGCGTTGCTTTAAACTTTCACCCCTACAACTGATAATTTTTTGGGCTGCAATTTGAAAAAATTATAGACCATAAATTCTCACTGTCGTCCGTCCGTCTGTCTTTCTTTAATCTCGAGAACGGAGTTAGATAAATGAAATACGAGATTATATGGAAATCTTACGGGCAAGACGCCCGTAATGTGATATGTGAACTTCCGATGCAAACCGAAAGTCACATTATTTCAATTCAAAATACTTTTTCCCTGAAAGCAGTTAATAGATAACCGGCATGACTGTTATTTGTTAAAGGAAAAGTATAATGTACAGTATTATATATATATATTATATATTCAATATAATAAATATTGAATATATAATAAATATATATTATAATATATTGAAAATGATAGCAATCTAAAGAGTAATGAGCAATTATTTATTGTGACATTGTCATAATGCCAGGCTGTAATTTTTAATCATATTTTTAATTTATTTAATTTAAAATATATGCTCTTTATCTCAAATTAATAGTGGCTTGCCTCTGTACTGTACTGTACATTATACTTTTCCTTTAACAAATAGAGTAATGCCAGTCATCTATTTTTTAAATTTAGTAAAATATAATTTATGAAAACTAATTGAAAAAATATAAAAGTTTGTATCCTGTAAATTTTCTGTCTGATAATAAATTTTTTTATTATAGATATCAAGAATGAAAATTATTTAAAGTTAACAAAATAATAATATACAAAAACTTCATAGTTATGCTTTAAAATGTGTAATTCTAATACTATGTAACAATTTCATTTTAGGTGGAAGTAGTGGTAGTGCAATGGTAGCTGCACTCGAAGCAGCAAAGGATTTGAAAGAAGGTCAGCGATGTGTTGTTCTGCTTCCTGATGGTATTCGTAATTATATGACAAAATTTGTCAGTGACAACTGGATGAGTGAAAAAGATTTTATTGACATTCATTGTGAAATGGCAGCAAAACATTGGTAAATACTATAAATTAATAATAATATATGTAGTTTATAATGTAATATATTTAAGAAAAAATTTTGGAGTATATTTTTTGGTGAAATTTATTATATTTAATTAAAAATTTGGATTTGTTCTATATTTATTATTTATTATCTTTTTTGATTCTTTTAAACTATTCTGACTATAAAGAATAATGGTTATTATAATGAAAGTTATTTCTTTTCCTAATAGGCTATGTATAAATAAGTTTGATTTTACATATACTTTTGCCAGTTAGTACAAACTTAAAAATTCATAAAACTTTTGAAAGTAGCTGTAGTTCCATATCTGTAGATCTTGATCAACATATTACCAATACAATTATGTCATATATCTGGTATTTTTCACATTATTTTTGATTATAGAGTATTTGTACTGTCAAGTCTTTTAATCTTTTTATTGTACATTTTGAAATATAATTTTACAGTTTTTCTTGTGTAAGATAAAAAAATTGAATAAATAATTCTATTAACAGTTTATCAAATATTTTTTTTCCTGCTTCATTCAAATTCACTGCACATGGTTACAAATGCATAAGCATTAGGAAATTTTGACTTATCAATGTGTGTGAAGTTTCATGGAATATAACCCATACTTAAGTTGATAGTTAGATGACTGGATGGCTGAGGTGATTAAGATATCGATCTGCTGCTCTAGAAGACCCAAGATTGAATTCAGGCAATAACTTCATGAGCAATTTTTCATATGTTGACCTTGTCTCTTACTACCTGACTGCATCTCATTCTGCATCTAGTTGATTATATGATGGATAAAACTGAATGGTCCTTTTAATTGCCTTCATAGTACAAAGAATTATGAGAGGGAGAAGAAAGTTAGTGTAGCTGTATCTTGTTTGCTATTCAATTAACTCATTGGGCTTCAATTTTAAAAAAATTGAAATATTAAAAAAATTGTATACATATAAATTCCCGTTATCATTTGTCTGTCTTTCCTTAATCTTGAGAATGGAATTAGATAGATGAAAGCCAAGACCAGATATGGAAAGATTAGAGACAGGAGGCCCCAATTAACTATATATGAACATATGATGCAAACTGAAAGTCATATTTCAATTCAAAAAGTTTCTCCTGAAAGGAGTTATCATGACTCTATTGCTAACAGAAAAGTATGATGTATAGGGGCAAGACACTACTAATTTGAGGTGGAGAGTATATATTTTAAATTAAAAATATGATTAAAAATTGCAGCCTGGCATTGTGATGATTTTATAATTGTTCATTTCAAATACAGTGGGTGATCAGTTAACGAACATAATCCGTTCCAAGACTTTGTTCGCTATCCAAATTGTTCGTTAACCGATTATCGATTTACCATAGGTTTCTATGGGAATTTAATTAATTTGTTCTAAAGACCCCAAAAAATAAAAAATATATACTTTCTTACTACGTTTATTTATATGTAATAATAAAAATACATACACACACAGTCTTGCATTTTTATTAGTCATATTTTTTTCCGTTTGAAATGGTTAAAGAATATGTCTAATGTCAATTGCTTTCCTCTCTTCTTCAGGATTTTTCGTAAGTAATTAATAGCATTGCAATTGTAGAAATCCCCAAGCCTCAACCTGGTTTAGATGCCATTCTAAGACCGTTGTTCTGACATCCTCCCACTTCTTCAAAGGATCTTTAATA